TCACATGTGACTTGATCTTACCACATGCCACAGAAGACATGAGTATGCCAACTGCACAACTTACCTCATGCGGAGGGAGTGAGTTAGCTGCGAACAGAAAAATTTCTGCTGCTTCAGTATGATAGTTTAAAGTCTTCCACTACACCTCTAAATAAGCTCAAACCTGCATAACTCATAAAGGATGACATACTGACAGCACAAGATACCAGACTCTAGGCAGCTGCCTCTGCAGCCAGCAAATGTCCAGTTCTCCTAGCTTCATGAGGTTTGCTCATTTAAGCATCCCCTGAGACAAGGCAGTCCTAACGTGGCTCTGGCACAGTCAGACAATCCTAAGGAGGATGGTAGCAGACCTCCCTCCCACACATGCTGCTTTTCCCTTTCACCATGCCAGCTTCTTGGGCATCCAAGGCTTAGTTCCACTGCTCTGATCTCGCCTATCCCATGGAGTTAACATAAAGGGCCGCAATCAACTTCAGGCAGAGAAGAAACTGTAAGAAATCAGTGAGTTTCTTTTTCTAATTGGCAGCATACATATTATACCAATAACTTCATCATCAGATGATCTTTTCCGTATGATGGTTGTTGCCTGCAGGATTAAATCGCCATAGACTTTGCCTGGCAGAATGAAAAGGAAAAATCATGCCCCAGTAAGTCATTGCACTAACATAGAGTGCTTACATGCATAAGGAGAAAGGTCTGTTGTCTTCTTCCAATTTGCCTCCTACTGATGTGAGATTATATCTTTCTATGGGGAAGCAAAGTAAAGCAGACTTAGAGTCATTTTGGTTCATCCAGGCCAACATTAGAGACAGTGCCTGTCACTCAGCTACAGGGTCATAGGATTAAAGCTTAAAAGCCTAAAGTTTTCAGAGCCAGTGCTTCAATGCCATTACAGGACAGTTAATTAAGACTGAATGCATCTAACTGCAGACTGGCAAGGCACCAATGAAGGGAGGAATCCCCAGGCCAAGTGGGGATACTCTGTGGCATATAGGGCTGTTTTTTTCTGGGGATTCTCCCATTAGAAATTAGAGCCAGAATTCTTCCCAGATATGTATCAGCATGGATCCAATTCTAAAAAAAAGTCTCCACTGCATTTTCAGATTTGACCAGCTGCTTCTGACTGTCTTTCTGCCTTCTCTGTACCACAAATACCCTGATCATTCTCTCAGCACTGATGGATTATCTAGTTCCTTTCTGATGAATGTCCCAAGATCCAGAGTCTACCCAGTCAACCCTCCCTGCCTCCATAAAGCTCCTTGTGCTGTAGCAGATGTCACAGTATACAGCTGGGACTAAATACACTCTCAGCCAGCATGGGACCCATGGCTCCTAAAATCTGGCACTCTAATATTACCCATATGGTTCATAATGCAATCTCACTGAGGCCAAAACCAACATTGCCACAGACTTGGTGGGAACAGAGATGGATTCTAAAACCACTCAGGGGTTCAAGTATTACAGTGTTTTTTTCTAAAGAGGAACTCTTTGTTATAACTCTATGTGCAAGGTTTAATCCTTGCCGGGATGAGAGAGCACTTGGCCGTTGCCCCTCCCCCACCCACGCCGGTCGGGCTGGAAGTTAAACACAGACCCCGGCTAAAATAACAAGAAATTTAATACAACAGAGTGATAGAACAATCTGAACAACAGTATCAATGGTAACAACAATAAACAGCAATAACAGTGAACAAGACAAACGATATACAGAGAAATACCGCTAGCTGGTCTACGGAAAGCAAAATTCCCTCCCGAACCCACCAAGGAGCAAGGAAAAGGTCCCGCTCCCGGACCTGACGTCAGCATGGTATGAATAACCCGGCTGGAGATCCCTTCCCCCTCTCTCTCTGCTGGGGAAAACTTTACTCTATCCTGGCTGAACCAGGACACTCTAAAAGATTATAAAGACTCAGTTTGTGATTGAAACCAAAGAGAACTTTCCCACTAGAACCAAAGTGCATGACTTCAACCATAATCAGGTCTAGTCTTCAGTGGACCACGGTACTGAGTGAATAACACCTGAGCCAAGATACAAGACCTGTGGCCTGCTAATGATATTTGGCATGTCAAAATGCAATTTAATTACAGTGTTTAATAACTGTTCAACTTAGTTGTTGGAATAATAATATTTTGTTAATGTGTAAGCAAATAGCTACATGCTTGATGCCAATTTATAGGTTTTACTTAAGTGCAATACATTGAGGACCTTTTCATAATACATCTTTGTAGAAACAGTAATTGTTCAGAGAATCACAAATTAGTCTTTACAAATAACTGCAGGTGGTGTTGAATCAGAAGTTCTATTTCATAACATATCAAACATGATATAGATTTTCACAGTCATTATTTGACTTATCAAACTTGAACTGAATTAACGCTTAATGAATTATGTGAATTTTAAGCCATCTGTAGTCCTACATATAAGTAATCATGCACACGATATTTAAAAAAAAATAAACCTGTAGGGCTTAGTTTAATTTGGTATATTTTAATTATGTGCTATACCAACAATTTTGTACTCCAAAATTACTGGCTATTAGGCTATATTTTTTTCTCAACTACCCAAATGCCAGTATTTTTTAAATAACTAAATATTCAAAGAATATAAAAACCCAATGTTCTGTATACCTGCTATGGTCAAATTTTCTCCCAACTACTTCTGCTACATTTTCTCTATAAAACTATGATTCTGTAAAAGAAAATGTATGATTTTATGTCTACAATACTGAAGAGGAACTTTCTGACACAACCAACTTCCTACTGCTTGACACATCTGTAACTGAGCAAATCACTCTCTTCTCTGCCTTGATTTCCAAAATACAACATGAGTGATAACACTGATGACCCCAGTTTTTGAATCTACAGATGAAAAGCAGAATACGATCACAATGTGGTAATTGCTAGGGGGACACAATGCCATTGTAAACAACAAAATTGTACTGTAGAGGACAGATACTGTGTCACAGAGAGAACCCATATTGCAACCACCAATATTTATTGTTCCAGGGAATTCAATACAGGAAGTGAGAGTAACAACAGTACCAGTCACTTCTTGAAAGCCTGGTGGGAATGAATTTGAGAACTAACACTAGACCCCCACAGAGCTCTTCCTAGACATGAAGTTTACTTCAGGAACAACTTCTTAGTGAAAGAAAACAAAACAATGACTATGTGGTGTGTTAGTGCATCTTTTAGAAAGGCAGAATGCCTTGTCTTCAGACCCTTTTGCTCTAAAAGCAAAATCATTGCTTAATGATAGCTTCTTTCTTCTTTTGGAATATGGGAGTATACTGGCTCCTGAGTGATGGTGGCTTTTTGCCCCACACAGTCTGTGCAGAAGGCCTGATGGACTGAACAGTTCTCCCAACTGGGAAACAGCACAAGGCAGACTTCAAACCTGGCATGTGGGTAAGAATCACAAAGAAAAGGCTTCAGTCTTGCATAATACTATAGTGTCACATACGTAACGATGTATTAGATAACACAACCATCACACTGAGTGCATGTGGGAGACTAACAATTTACTTCGTGAGTCTAGCCCTTGGCTGTCAAGCCCTAGCAGTGCACCAGGAGAAACAGAAATTTGTGCTTTGTGAAAAACACCTGCGGATGCACCAGCTTACCACTGACTTTGCTAGCACTTGCTATAACATGCTTATAAATGTGCGCTTAACCATACCCTCTGGCCATACCTAAATTTGGCTAACATGGTATTAAACAAAAGTATTTACCAACCTATTTTAATAGATGTAACCCAAACACAGGTTTAGACAATTCCAAAGAAGTTGGGCAGAAACAATTTTTATGAAACCTTACAGTGAGTCTGTAAAAAGCAACCACTATAAACAGTCTAGTCTTAACTTTCGGTAGTCTGCACAGCCCTGGCACTGCTGAATCCTGCAGATGACATTCGAGGGCTCAGCCCGAATCTGGACACCAAGCTCCAGGAGTACTGGGGCCACTGACCAACATCCCCTCAAATCCAACGCTCACAGCCCATATACAACACACGCTACAACCTGAGGGCGACCACATCTCCCAGGTTTGCAGGTGCAACCAACCCAGGACAAAGCACGGTGTTCCCCTAAATGCTCTGCTTGGGAAACGTGCAAGGCTTGGGGAGCAAAGATAAGGACCCTGCCCCACACATCGTGTTTGGCACCAGGGGAGGTGGGAGAAGGCACCCAGGGAGACGGGGGAAACAACGTCCCTGCTGCTGTAAGGAGGCACTGAAGGGTGAATAAACGTTTTCAAATGCGACTGTCACTTACTTATCCAGGACGAAGTAGAGATCAAAGGCACCGTGACAGGAGCGCTGCTCTTCTTGCTCTTCCTCCTCCTCCTCCAGGCGGGCGCAGGAGGTTAGGCTCCCCATTGCCAGCAAGAAGCAGCACAAAAATGCTGCTTTCTCCACGCTGCTCCTGCCACTCGCCATCTTTTCCTTTCCTTAATTATTCCTCCTCCCTCAATCTCTCTCGCTACAGACCTTACGGGCTCTTCGGAAGCACCAAGGGCAGAGGGGAAAAAAAAAAAAAAAAAAAAAGGAAAAAACCCAAACCACTAACTTCAGGATCTCAGCTCAACCGTGCAGGCTCAAGGCAGCCCTGCCCGCCGGGCACCGGACTGCTGGCTCAAGGCCGGGGGCTGAGTCCGGCGGGATGGACCCCGGAGCCCCGTCCCCTGCCCCGAGCGGCTCAGCCCCGTCCCGCACCGAGAGAAGCGGCGCCTCTCGCCAGGGCCGGAGGCAGGAAGGGGCAGAGGGAGGGGAGCGGGGGGAGGGAGACAGGATCTGATGGGGGAAAGCTGAACCGGGACTTTCCTGTTCCGGGATACCGAAGTGGGAACGGCTGCTGCGAGCCGGGGGCCGGGG